TAGAATGTATGGAAAAGGGAATAGAGTCCTCAAAAAACATATATAATCAGACGATAGATTCTTTATTTTCAGCACGGTCAAATTTAATAGAGGTAAATAGATCCCTTAGGGAGCAGTTAGCGTTAAAGAAAAATAATGAAGTAGATCATCCACCCCCGCCTATGAATAATTCATCATGTATAGCGCCTGGTTCGAAGAACCCCTCTGGCTCTGGCCAACCTTCCTCTCTTAATCCATCGTCTCAAATAATTTCTGTAGGTGGCGCAGAAGCGGTATCTTTACCAGCGATTGCTCCTATCATTGCGAGCTCCTTAATGTCACCTATATTAATATATTCTATAATTACCCTAGTAATTATTGTGATTATATGGTTCATGGTCAGGAAATGGTGGAATTTGCAGAAAAAAGGTAATCAATATTCTGCCTACGAAAAAAATCTTTCAAATTATATAATACCTAATCCGATACGCAGAAGAACCAAGAGACAGGACTACCTCCTATAAATCAGCCAATCTGGAATCATCTATTTCATGTTAATATTCAAAAATAAAATACTCTATCACGAATTCGTGATGATCAGAGTCACGTGTTTTCCGAGATATTATGTTCTGCAAATTTGTCAAGAAAATTTTTATTAACCTATGCACTTGCTTTATTAATAATATAACTTATTAAAAATACATGTATGAAATCGAATTCTAATCTATGAATTTTTGGGGGTTGAAACCGTAACTACCATTTCACTAGAACTATGTTCACTATCCCCAGAGTCAGAACTATATAATATTTTGTGAATTGTACATGCAACGGCCGTTCTCAGAGTCATCAATGCATGTATAAGCAGATATACAGCACTTGGAGAAGTCATATGCAATGGAATTGTTGCTTCTTCTATTAAGCAATACTTATAAATACCTGATTCTTTTCGCATAGCATAAAGTTCTATAACATCGCCTGCCATTTTATATAAAATAAATATGGTTAAATATCATTGATTGGCAAAAATGTGAAATAAATTGATATATACCAGCGACGTTAATGGTAAATATACTCAAATTCTGTCTCTTAGATGATTGATTGAATATTCTTTTAAGCTTCGATACATTTCTTGTAGTATCAATAGAGTCTTTAGAAAATCGAACCAACTTTTTGTGATCTCGTTGTCGTTTGTCTTGAGTGGAGTTTGGTCTACCAGTTTCTAGATATACAATTTCAAGCTCTACACTCTTTCCTAGTTGTACTATAGACATACAGTCAGGCTTTCGCGCAAATTTACGAGAACCTTTCCGTATGGCACTAGCTGAGCTTCCTTCCTCACCCCTATTGAAAAATATAATCATTATACTATGATACAAAGTAAGTCTCTGAATTCAAGCTAATCCCGATTTAACTTACCATATATCCCATACAACTGGATTCCCAGGTAAATCACTCAACACTATATTTATTAGAGGCGCAAGTACTTCACAAACATATGATCCTTCATTAACCGGTTTTCCTTTCTTCGAATAGGCTTCGTACTTGGGTGATTTCCAGACTTTAAGTCTAAAGAATTATTGATTGTCAGAAATTTGATCATCTCCTACGAAAAAAAATAAAGAACTTACAATGCTTCTAGTATTTGTCTAGACATTATCTGAAGCATCTCAGGCTTATCTAGCCATCTCCCATATTCAACATTACTCAAATCAGCATCTACATTAATCTTCGATTTTTCATTATGGATGAACTCTTTACAAACATCCATTATGATATCGTTCTGATCTAGCTTATATTTTTGGAAAGGTTCCTTAAAAACATCACAAAATGATCCAGGCATCTTCGTAAAAGGTTCAGATCTAATATCGAGAACCCCAGAACATATTGGATGGTCGAATCCAAGGCTTTCAACATTTACTTGTTCTAATTCCATTTCGATTCTTTCCCACATAGTTTTTTCATAATCAGTACTCTGATTTATAAGCTGACCGACATCACGTTTTAAAAAACGCAAATTTGCATTTGCATCATCAGGCCAAGTCTCCGCATCAATCACTAGAGCCTTCATTTCTGTAAGAGAACATAAATCTTCGAAGGCACTTGTAACCTAAATATAAATAACTTAGCTTAGACTTAACATATTTGTTAATTAAAGTGAATAATAATTCGCGGGATCAGATTAGGTTTTCATTTTCATAAAATATCAAAAATGCCAGCAATACGCTCAATAACCAATATTTGGATACATATAACTAGCTACTGCTATGCGGGAAGTGATAATATCACAACGGACATAACCCATTCACTAGCATATAAGCCCTTTTGAAAACCTAAAAAAAAATACATCATATCCATATATTTGACATGAATATAGCTTATCATCCTTACCCGTTTCGCTAATTTTTTTCCAGTACCAAAACTTTGAAGCTTCTTTATCCGCTCAATATCCTCTGAGGGGGTTCGTTCCAAAACTCGCTCCATAACATTGGCAAAGTTCTTCACCTCCTTTTCAAGAACGCCTGTCCATTCACCTTGTTCCACTCGTACAAATAATGCCGTGGAAATTCTGACGATATCGAGGGGTTCTCTTGTTAAAAGAAACTCTTCCATGTTTTAATAGAGTAAAGGTTAAATGTTAGTGAAAGCTCTGCTAAGCGAAGTAAAAAAATAATGTAAAAGCATAATAAATGACCCCTCTAAATTTACAATCATATTGGGAAAGAGACAGGAGAATATGCAAGGCACTTTACGCCCGTGTTTATGATTAATGACATGTGGAATGTGCATTGAAGATCTCAACATTACATCATATATTTTAACGAGGATCGGCTAATTTATGTCGCACATGCATTAGCCTGAGTCGCTTCACATGACTGGACAATATATTATTTTGTTAAGACAATATTCAGGATCTGGGTCAAGAACGCCCTGGATCTGAAAAAATTCGGCAGGTGATACATAGCACCTTCGACCAATTTTACTAAGCAATCATGCATGTAGATTATATAGCTATTCATTTCGCGGTAAATTTTTTCCAAATTTCAGTCAGGAAAAAATACTAAGAATATTCCTAGAAAATGTCTTCTAAACAATTGTAATTTCTGTTCCATCTTCTAATTTTAACACTGACCAATTAAGATGGTTTATAGATGGTAGTAAATTTTTTTGTTTAGCATACAGAGACGAGATAAATATTTTACTAGTGGTCCCTTGCTTTGAGCGCCTTTGGCTAGGACTTGATGATTGATAAGAAGATGGTAAAATCATTTCTTGACTGGTAAGTGAAATACAAGCTGGCTCGAAATTTGGAGTACTTGGTATAATCACTTTGCCTACGAAGTTATGATGCCTTTGGCTAGAACATGAATTATTCCAATGATCCTTCAACAGATCTTCAGACTCAATTTCATAGGCCCATCTTCCCCAACCACTATAATATTCTTTTCTAGGCTCTACTTCGGTGATCTTCACCAATTTCCAGCATTTGAAGCAGATAGCCATCTGACTTTTATGAACACTAGGTCTACGATATTCGAAGGGGGTACTACATAAATCACCATTAACATAGTATGTTGTGGATTTTACTTGCCCAAAGGAAGCGAAGAGACATTTAAAATATTAAGATCTTAAAAAAAAAATGCCAAAAAGGTTAACTCTAGATAATGCAAAAGAAATTGCCAGACAACGAGGAGGAGTGTGTCTTTCAGATAAATATACTAATGGTTATTCACCTATGCAATGGAAATGTACTAAAGACCATATATGGACTGCAACATTTGATAGTATAAAACATCAAAGGTCATGGTGTCCATATTGTGCAGGAAAAATTCGTCAAACACTTGAAACTGCTAAAATGATTGCATTTAATAAAGGTGGTGATTGTATTTCAGATAAATATATTAACAATAAATCCTATTTGCGATGGAAATGTGCCAGAAATCATGAATGGAATGCAACGCTTGATAGTATAAAAAATAAAAATTCATGGTGTCCATATTGTGCAGGACAAACTAAGAATACTCTTGATATTGCTAAGATGGTTGCAATTAGTAAGGGTGGAGATTGTATTTCAAATGAATATATTAATGGTTCATCTCATTTGAGATGGAAATGTGCGAAAGGTCATGAATGGAATGCAACACTTGAAAGTGTAAAAAATCGAGATTCATGGTGCCCCATATGTGCTGGACGTAATCGGACCATTGAGGATATGCAAAATTTGGCGCAGAAACGCAATGGGAACTGTCTTTCGGATAGTTATAAAGATGCGCATTCTAAATTAGTATGGAATTGCTCGAAAGGACATATATGGAATGCCACATTTGCTAATGTGAAATATCAAGGCTCATGGTGTCCTTTTTGTCAAAATAAACGTGAAAATATATGCCGTGAAATTGTAACTAACTATCTTGGAACTCCATCAGAAAATTGCTGGCCGGATTTCTTAAAAACACCTAAATACTCTCGAGGGTTACAACTTGATATATTTTATCCAGATCATAGTTTCGCAATTGAAGTTCAAGGAGAACAACACGAAAAATATATAGAATTCTTTCATAGAGGAGACCCGAATAATTTTATCAAACAGCAAGAACGGGATCATCTCAAGAAAGAATTATGTGAAGAGAACGGGATTGCCTTAAGGTATGTTTGGTATTATGAAGACCCATATGTAGTTATTCCAGGGTATCTTAGAGAATTGGGTCTTATTGAGTAAACTTAAAACTTTAATTACATTTGTGTGATTCATTTTTTGTGTTCGGGCCAGGCTAAAAAAAAATACGTCATCAGCAAGCCTCATTCATGGCGCAGTGTTACCTTCGTTAGCGACGATCAAAAAACTTATTATTTATTCCACACACCCGTCATCCGTACATATGTAAAAAATACATGCCCAAATTATGGGCGAAACTTTATGTTTGAGAAATACATTATTTCAATGCAATGTACACTGCATACACATGCTAGATAAGCCCGATACGAGCAAAAACTAATCCATTTATTATATGTTATAAACATTTTTATTTAGCTCTTCTCTTTTTATTTGTTATTTTCCCCGGTGATTTTTTATTTGGTTTATTTTTCTTTTTATGTGGTGTTTCAAAGCAATCCACAATAGAAATTTCGTTTTCAGGAGTTGTTGGTCGAGAAAGGTCCTGGCCATTGCCTAAGATTTCTGAAATAAGATCATCCTCCTTAAAATCATCTTCCTTTGGGGTCTTCTGTTCGATGAATCCAAGTACTTTTAAATTGTTTTCAATTATAATCTGAAAAAAGTCATTTGTGAATTTAAGTCAAATGAATCCAGTAAGTGTATTTATAAAAAGAAGTTACCTGACTTCGCACAATTGCTTTTAGGAACTTAAGAAAATCTAAATGGCTTGTTTTAGAAAAGTGATCGGAGATAGAATGAATATCATCTTTCGAAAAGATACATATAGAACCTCCAGCCAACCATAACCTTACAAACTGAATGTTATAGCGAAAATGCAGGATACCGATGGCCACCAGCTTATTCACTTCCTTATCATTGCATCGTTTTGATCTTATCATATCAACTAAAATATCCTTCAAAGTCTTCGGCATTTTAAAAGACTCAATAAGAAGTTTTCTATCTCCATCATTTACGAAGGATCTTGCCGCTTCAAGTGCACCCAATTCTATATTATAAGTTGGATGATGAATAATTCCATCAATCTTTCTGCCAGTCAATTTTCTTTGTTTTGGTTTTCTGGCTCGATTTTTCCTATTTGCTGAGGCAGTTGATGGTGCATCTGTCCTTTTTATATCCGTAGACATTCTTGGGTGTCTCATCAAAAAATCAAAGCAATTTCCAAACAGGTTGACTGTAAACCAGTCCTCGTACTGTTCCCGGAATAAAGGAGCAGATGGATTTTCATAAAGGTTGCATAGATGCCTCAATGTAACTTGGATCCATTCTTTTAAGTAATGCTCCTTTGGATCATAAAATTCATTTTCTTCCAGGAAATTGCGCATCACTTCTTGGCGAAGTTCAGCAAGATCTTCCTTCATATACTTGGCCAATTCTTTCCCAACTTCATAATCGACGGACGGCAGTGAAGGCTTCTTCGTGAGTTCCTTCCAGTCTTCTTTACTGAATAATGCTTTTATTTTATCATCATGATCACATATGATGAATGAGTGTGCATGGCTATAATTTATTTAATATGTTAAAAGTAGAAAATGCTAAAAATTCGGATTAAATGAGTTTACCTCTCGTACTCCAGATCCTTTGCATATTTAAATAAGACATCCTCAACAACAGTTTTTGAATTTAAGACAAGTTTTGCCTCTGTAGGTATCCCCTGGAAAATTTTTCGAAATTGTTCCTTTTTTTCTTGGGTCATTCGATTTTCATCATCTTTCTCTATGTCATCACTATAGATCTCATCCTCTTCATGTTCGTTTTCGTCTTCTTCAGTATAATCGGACGAACTAATATAAAGAAACAATGAGCTCAATGGACAGGATATAAATAAATGTTTGTACAATGCATTCTTACCTGGGCACTTCGTTTTCAGGTTTCCGCTTCAATGAGCTCAAAATTTCTTTCGTTTTTTCTGTGCGTGCAGTATCTAATAGATCTAGAACTTCTATTTCTGTATTGTTGCGTACTGAATTCTAGAGTTGAAAGGTTGATGGTATTAGGACATGTAACATAAATTATATGCAGGGGATAATACATACCGTCTTGTTCATTATCTCTCGTTTTCCACGTAAGTCTTCTTTCTCTTTTTCAACGTTGTCCCAGAAACTATCTGCAGACGACGAGTTCTAAAAATATTATGAGATTAAATAATTTGTCCTATGCAGATCTTTTAAATCATCCAAAACTAATAATTCAAAATTCAGGAACAGTCAGGTATCATACGAGGGAACGAAACCATCATCACCTCAGAAGGAACGAAACCATCCTTGGCTAGTAATGACACCGACAGCAACTACACGGAGGGAACGAAACCATCATACCTCAAGAGGGAACAAAACCATCCTTTGGCTGCGTAGAACTGTCTTGACTGTTTTTAAGGAAGAAATAAAAGAAGAAATAATAGCTGAAAATACCTTTTCTTTTAAGAGAATCGCCAACACTCTTTGTTGTTCACTATACGCGTCATCTCCTGCAATCTTATCTAAACGTGTTATAAATCTCTTTCTCCATGTACCTTTATCTTCTTGTTTTGTGACATCCAATCTTGACATAATGACGGGTTTAAATGAATTTAAAAAGTTAAGGTAAGACCATTCTTCAACAGGCGTATCGTCAAAATAGTCTCTGATGGCTTTATATAAGCAATGTAAATCTGTCATTTTTTGAGTTTGAATCTTGGCGGTCTCGCTAATCCTAGAAAATATTATGGTTTTATATAATTTATAATAATTGGTAAATGAATACGTCCCGAAAATTAAAATTTACGTCATCCGCCATTCATTTACCTAAGAAGCAGGAAGAAATTTGCAAATCACGGGATTTTAAACCAATCGAAAATTCACGATCACATGACGTCAATGACGACATAACTATTCTATCGCAAACCAGATAATAATTTTCTTGTCATTCACAATTCGGCATTCTCAGCTATAATATGAACAGTATCCGATAAAAATCACATGTGTGACTTTTGTCAAAATATTCTCGCTTAGAAAGTAGTTCTTGCAGAGGAGCTCTTACACGATTAGCCCATTGCTGAGGAGATTCATGAGGTCTAATAATAGATAAATAATCATATTGCTTTTCTATTTCAACTACTTTTTCATACCGATATTCATCAGTTTGAGGATGATATTTAAAAACATGTTCCATATCGTATCCAGGACGAAGATTGATAGGTCTAGGAACAGTTTTATTATAAATATTATCTAATATAATCTTAACCATAACACCTGGCATAATTAATAGTAAATTAGTGTTTTTTAGCGATTAAGAGATTTATAGCAATTTCAGTAATTTATAGCAGTTTGTAACAAGTATACTATAATAAATATTGGATTCATTTTTATTCGATTTATATAAGGCCGGCTATGCTAATTTATATTTACATGTGGTTTGTGGATCTCTCGTGATTAACAGGGATTAGTTAAAGAAATTTTGCATGATGTATAACATAAAAATTTGTATCATGAGAGACCTCCCCTAGTTCCCTGTGCGAAGCGCCTACGGCTCAGTTCCTCAAGAGTTCTAGGCGCTGACGAGTTTCTATAAATCACGAGATGATTGGCAATCAGATTCGAGACTGGCTGTAATTATTTTATATTAGTTTGCAGATCCCTCATGATTTTATTTAATCGATAAGCAGTCATACAGCATTTACAGATACACAGCGATATACGAGTTGATACATATAAATTAAAAAGGAGAAAGGTCCGACGTGGGCCAAGAAAAACTTTATTAGTTAATTTATGCTAATCATGCTTTAGCCGTTAAGGCGCTAC